AGATTAAGATTTTTGTGAGCGTGTATAATATGTAAATATATTGTAATATATGGAGCTACATTAGTGTATTTTATGTGATACATTTTATATGAGGATTTTTGCATGAGTTGAATCAACGAATTAATTCAAAGAAATATTTGCAGATATATGGGAGTGGATTTAGTCATATATACAACAAAGTGCTTGATGCAAATTTTCCAAGGAAGTTTAGATCAGCCAGTGATGTAGCCTTTCTCAACAACTTTGTAACCAAATTCAATGTTACGTCATGAAGTCGCGTGTTGCACGTCATTAATTTGCAGACCATTGTGACAACTTCGGACGTACCAGATGTTCATGAATGTACGAGCGTCATAATACATGCTGTAAAATATGCAAAATAATGACGTGTTGGTTTATTGGTAGATTGACGGCGGTTCAATCGTGGTTCCGTGGAATACTTCTACTGCAATGTGTATGTAATTTTGTAAAGACCGTGTAAAAATGTATGTGTTGTTGTTGAAACTTTGGTAAACTGTGAGTTATTTGATTCAGTTCGCTCTTGATATAGAAAAGCGTTTAGTAACAATATTTGTTAAATTTCTGAAAATAATATTTGTTCAAGTTTGTACTAATGTTAGTATAGGCCCATGGTAATATAGGCCTGCTAGCAATAAAATTTGAAAAGCTGTATAGCATCGGTAAATTGAGTGTACCAAATGTTTATCTGTCCCATTATGTAACGTTATGTATTCATGTCTCCATCAGTAACGCGCCTCATATTACAAGGTGGAAGAAAAAACAACAACTACTACACTACCACCACAACAACAAAGCAACAATTATAATTATGATTATAATAATAATCATAACAACGTATAAACAACAAAAATAATAACACTGATATCAAGTTATATTACTAATAGGCCTAATAATTTCAAGATTTAGCCAATATTGTTCCCATGGGCCGTGCAAGAACAAAAGGTGATCGGCCTGACATAGTTAAACTTTTGTATCATAACTAGGGCGATGGTAATGTAGTTTCGTGAAATTAACATATTTAATACCGAAACAAGTGTTATTTTTTTAACGCACAAACCAAAAGTTGGTATAATTGCTGTATTATAGAATATAGTATTTACGACAATTGTGTGGATGTTGCCGACGGCTCGAGGAATTGTTATTGCATATTTTATTGAACAGGAAATAGGTTATATTTATAATTTAACCTACGTTTCACGAGACCGTGTACGCATATAATTAGCATTTGATGGTTTGACGGAAGAGAGTATCCATGGTGGCTACACCAATTACATAGAGACAGTAGTTACGCTTCCAATGTACAAACATGATTAAATTTGTTCATACAGTATAGCTCTAGAGTAATGTTTTATTTATCACCCGTCTTGACTTTCCTATCTGATAGAGTTAGCTATATAGGAACATCTGCTAGCCTGCAAAGTTATGGCGCCGCCAGCGTTTTACAAATGCGAACATATATTCGCGTACAAGATATTAAGTGAGGTAGTATATACGCCAAGTATCGAATTGATGCACGCCATCGTGTCGGGATTCAGTATTCCGACATTAATTATGTCATCATCAGGATATTAAGTCGTTCGTACGAGATACCGTACTATCTTGGGGCGGATATATGTGGGGTTGCAGACGGTGCAACGTCACCCCCTAAATCGTATTAAGAAAAATAATTGTTGTATTGTATTGTTGATTTAAATTACCGTCCAGTAAGATTTTTAAGGTAATATGAGAGTGCAATTTCTGTGCACCTACAACAAGAGGTCCATCTCAAAATTATTGTCTAACCTCAGCCTCAATCATGGTGGAGCTGAGGATGTGTGGTCACTCACGCACCCCTACCGCTAAATCCTGCATCTGCCTCAGCTATCTCGTATTCGAGATAATCCATCTCGTACATACGAGATAATTGTCTGGTACGAAGCGCCGACTGCTTATTCATCCAGCATTTATGCTGTTACACAGTTCATCCGAGACCACCTTTGGGAACTGAAAATTCTGGGGTTGTCTGTGGGTTTGGTGATTTATTGTATTAAAATGATAAAGATTGTTAATGGATTCTTTGAAAATGGTCTCGAATTAAAAGGGTCTTGGAGTTAGAAGGGTCTCGAATGTTGTATTTTTACACTGAGCTTCCATCTTGTCCTTCTGCATAATACAATGCCTGCAATTCGAGACCCCTCTATTCCTGATAACCGTCTAACAGTGGTAAAGGCCCGTGAGCTTTCGGTAGGGGCGGGGAAAAGGGGGAGAGGGCGAGCTCTTCTTAAGTACCGTGCACAATAGAGCATTGGCAGTCTTCGGCCTTGAAATCAGGTAGTGGTTACCCACCCCTCAAAGTGTTGAGTGCACAGATACTCGCAAGCAAGGACCAACCCCCCCCCCCCTCCAACCAAGAGACAGTGATTAGTCTTTTTTTTTTTATAAATTTGGAATGAGTACTAGATGTTTATCTCGTACGTATACGAGATAATAAAGTCGTTACTACATAATGGTTAAAAAATATTTTTACGTTGGCAGCAATACACGTCCATAATTTTTGTATTTCAATTAATATTCAATTTCGTTCACTTCGCTGGCATTTCCGAAGCGATTACTGTACCCAATAACAGGCCTTGTCTGGCTTGATTTGGAATATTGTAGCAGAACGTATTAGGTTCTAGATTCCATACACACTATAGGAATTCCCCAGGAGCAGAGAATGTTGCACTTGTGCATGATTGATTCAGCATCCAGTGATTAGAAATAAAAACTCATTGAGCAGTTCTAAAATGGAGAGATGCGCTACATATATTTTATATAAACATATTAAAGAAAAATAATAGTAAAATTCAAGAAACGCCGTAAAATTATGAAAACAGTTTCTGTTGAGACAGACTCGTAAACTCAACCACATAAACTGAATTGGTATGAAGTGGACAAGTAATATTAAAATCAATGTATTTTTCTTATAAATGAAGCAAAATATTATATTCCTTTGAGTAGGAAAGAACGGAACGAAGGTATTATTATACCAATATTTAAAAAAAGGTAATCGTATAATAATAATAATAATAATAATAATAATAATAATAATAATAATAATAATAATAATAATAATAATAATAATAATAATAATAATAATAATAGATCAAAACTTTGAATCTCAAAATGTGTCTCTTTTTAGAGTTACTGTCTCTTTGGGTTTCTTTTTTTTTTTTTTTGTGTAAATTTTAGACCTATTTACGTATGTGTCTAGGCCTAAGTATAAATTTGCGTAGTATATTTGTGTATTTCCGTCTGTAATTAGACCAATCTTCGTTTAGTGGTCATTAACAATTGTTATAAGACGGGACTGAGAAGAACATTTTCAAGTGCACAGTGGACTACTTTATGTCTGTTTGGATTGTGAAAATAATGAAAACAGTTTTTCTGTTGAGACAGACTGTCGAAACCCAATCACATATCTAACGGAATTGGTGTTTACAAGTGGAGAAGTACCGGTAATAACAATAACATTTTCGCTTATAGGCTAAATGAAGCAAAACATTATATTCCTTTGAGTAAGGTCGCACATTAAATCAGTGATGTAAACATGCAGGGTATTTGACAGACTTTTTATACTACCAGCATTGAAATTCAGTAGTAAGAGTATGAAGCCTGGCATTGAAGGATGAAACAATGCTTGCCACGGGTGGCAGAGCAGTGGCGCTAGTGGGAGTGGGGATTTTCCCCGTCGGACAGGCCTGGAACACAGTCGTCAGATCAAACATTAACAAAATATAATTTGCCTATTTGATTGTGGTCTAAAAACCGCAATTTGGAAAATACTAAGCCATAAAAACTCTCCCCATGAACCCGACAAGGGATTTTTAATTTATAGGATCCTTACAGTTAAAGCGTTGCTTCCGAATTTCTTCATACTGTATTCATCTTCAAATTTTAGGAACAACTAGACTAGATGTTCGTTCTTTTTTTCCTACATGTTAATAATAATTATTAAAATATTAATAATACGGACCATTATATATATGACTAAGCCTCGGGTACCCTTTCCATTTTATGACTTTGGCACGTCGTTATCAAGGTCTTACCGAGAATTGGCACACTTTCCATGACATGGAAATAGTGAATTGAATCGCAGCATAAGTACAAGACGAAAACAGGCCTAGTAGTAGACATGGATTGATTGACCAAGTACTAATTCAGTATTCAAAAGAAGAAAGATGCAGTAATAACAAGGAACGTTTTCTTTTCACTGTAGTAAGACAGACTGAGATGAATATTGCCAAGTAATCAGTCGCCTACTTTAAGTCTGTTTGGATTGGGAATTTGTTAGTCATAGACACATCAACAAACAGAATCAGCGAGACAGCCAGTTACAGAAAAAAAAATAGGGTCTATGCCTATTTTAAAAATTAACTTGAAAACAAAATAGCAATAACTTATAAAAGCACTACACAAAATAGAGGCCAAAAAACCCCCTTTACGTTGAAAGTCTATCCTTGATATGGTTACATCATTATGTTCTCAATCGAGCACTATTATTATTCTTATTTACCTATTTGGTAATATTGTGTTGAAGATGGTACATAGCTAACCTAATACAGTATATACACAGTATTATTTGAATCTGTTCAAAAATGAAGCCTCTGTGGTTTAATGGTTATGACCGCCTTGACAGTGGGAGGTCGCAGGTTAAAATCTCGTCAGAGGCATTTTATTACACAATGTATTTGTTTATTTATATAGGACTATATTCGTTGAGGGCTTTGTTACACGATGTAATATTATGTCCATTATTTGAACACTGTATTTACCATTCTTTGATGATTTATATAAACAACAAAACAAACAATACCTACAGATACCGATACAGAATTGGTAATATGATGTATAATTTATTAAACACACTGAGTGAACGTTTTCAAGCTGAATGCAAAAACAGAAAAAACTGTATATTTATATAATATATACATTCGTTGAGAGCTATGCTACACGATGTATTTATTAAGTCCTTTATTCGAACACTGTATTTACCTTTCTTTGATGATTTATATATGATTTAATAGTGTTAACGGCTACCTTGATTTGTTATGTTCACCTATTTGTTTCTAGCCGTACCTATTGTGTAATAGAGGGTATCTGGTGGTATTTGAATCTGTTCATCCATGAAGCCTCCGTGGTCTAGTGGTTATGACACTTGCCTTGACAGCGAGAGGTCGCAGGTTCAAGTCCCGCCAGAGGCATTTTATTACACAATTTCTTTATTCATTTATTTACAGGGCTACATTCGTTGAGAGCTATGCTACACGATGTATTTATTAAGTCCTTTATTCGAACACTGTATTTACCTTCCTTTGATGATATTTTTAAATATTTTTAAAAATTATATATTTTAAAAATTGATTAGAAAAAAAAATGTACTGTCATTATCAAGATGAGAAAATTATATATACGTAATGATTTGAAAGCAAATATATAATACTTATATACACACAAAACTTGATTAAATATTTACACATTTTTGTTAAGTATTCACAAATGAGCATTGGAAAATTCATCCAGACCTCTGTTCAATCTCAGAGACACAGAATTTTATAGGTATAAACTGCAGAGGTGATTCACAAAAATTATGGATAAATAACATATACTGAACTAGGAAAGTTAAGAAAATGTTTTAAGATGATGAATGACAGGCCAAAACTTATGCCACTGAACCTGAGAGGAATTGAAATTTGGGATGTGATGTTGGGGGCAGAAATCTGAATTTCACAAGAGGACCTAGGTTCCTTTTTTGCTTATCTTGCTACTGAACAGAATGAACACTGCTGATAAGACTGACAGAATACTAAATCAGATCACTGATCAGTTACTATTATATTTATTATATAAACAGGTTTATGTCTATTCTTTATACAGGTTACACCTGAAATTTATTTTATCAGTATATCTTTAAGAATTTCTTTTCTATTTATACAGTACATTACTTATTAATATTTACAGAAGTCTGAGCTCAATGGCCAAAGTGCCCATCTCTCTTTCTATGGCGTTGTATGTATATTTGCCACTTCTGTACAAATAAGTCTGGTTACCTCCCCAACACACACTCACACTCCTGCAACAAATGTAGATAATGCACCATGCCCAATAACATATAAATGCATTATAGTGAGGATTTCTTATAAGATTTAAATACATTTTATTTAATTCACATTAATAAAACTTGTAAGTTTACCATTACTGCATTTCTAATTATCAATCAGAAAGTTTTAAGCTTCATCCAGATTATCAAATTTTCATGGACAAAAAACTGTTGTATACCTATATATAGTCATGTTGTGCCTATATATGGCTATGTGATGTCATCATGACCATATTTAGGCATGTCACATGTTTTTGCCAAAAAAAAAAATTGATAGTCCAGACTGGACTTTAGACATGAAGTAGCTCATCATCACTATCGTCTGTATCATCTGAATCGACTTCACCCTCAATGGCTGACCTCCTTTTCTTGAATAACGCCACTAATAAACCAATAAGCACCATCTGTCAACAAAAATACCTAAATATATATTTTTTTGGCATATATTGCTTTCAAATTATTTTCCTAGCAATAGAAAACAACCATACACACAATGTACCATCTCGTCTACGCCTTTTACAAAGTATTCATTGTAACATGAGGCATACACCAACTTACATTCAACATACAATATTTGAACCTTATAAGGTACTAATGTCTAACCCTGACCTTACAGGTTGAACCCAAAATACAACTGCTGCAATATCTGTTCCCCATCATCAGTTAGAAATCATGATTCTGTTTAACTTTGCCATTAAAGTTGGATTCTGTGGATTCACATAGCAGCAAAAATATCGTAAGACCAAGAGATTCATAAAATGTGCAATTGACTCCTATTAATTTTAAATTCTGTAAAAACTCTTGCCCTTTTGTATCGACTATGCAAAAGACGAACCTTCTTGGAATAATCCTACTTTTATCAACATTTTTAAATAAGTAGTACACCATTTAATTATATAAATTTTTTTTAAATAATGTAAGTATATAACTTAAGTTGTATAAAATAAGCTTCAATGCTTTTCTTCTATTTTCATAGTTCACATGATTTTGTCGTCCCTTGTATGTAACCAACCTTGATTTTTTTTTTGTTCTGCATGTGACCAAATGATGACAAACTGATTTGAACTTATTCTTGTCTCCTTTTGTATATTTTTAATGAAATAAAAGTGATGTATTATATTTTAAAAAAATTAGTATTTTATGTAAAGGTACCAACTACTAATACAGTAGTAATTAATTATACTTACAGCCAAGAATGCCCAGTTGGCCCAGTAGTAAACAGCTCCAAAATACCACAACATGAAAACGGACGTGGTTAGCAGAGATGCTGCTATAGTCATTACACAGTCTGTAGAAATAACACCATCAGTTTTTATTTTTTAAATTTTATATTTTGTTTTACGAAACATTAACTTCAGATATTGATGCTGCTATACTCATTACACATTCTGCTGAATTAACACCTTCAGTTTTTGTTTTTTTTTTGTTATTTTGTTTTATAAAACATTAACATAAAATATTTTCCACTTGATGGTTATAAACCACATGGGATTGAATTAATGGTTGCATTCAATGTAAAGTAAAAGTACACTGCACAATCAGCATCACTTTTTTTGTCTATTCTTCAATTTCACTGTGCAATTTTAGTTAGTCTACAACGTGAGAAAGGTAAATAATGTAGGTCGTCTGCACAACTTTGACATTTTGACCTGCAAGCATGGATGATGTGTAATCCAACAAACGACAAATAATGTTTTTCAATCATACTGTACAATGAGGATAAATATTTTCATGGTGAAAGACAAAATAGTCCATTAAACTCAGCCTTGTTCAATGTTGCATTCCTTCTTACACCCTATTAAAATATTTTTAGCTCATTCGACTAATGTATTATTTGTATAATACTGTACTTCACAACCTTTATACAGAAAGTGGCTAACTGCTATCAATATGGAATTAAATTGATGTAAACTGAGATATCTTGAATAACAATCTCAATTTGTTTTATGTTCCATGTATCATCAAAAGGAAATAAATATATAATCAATCACAAACTCAGGGGAGAATGTTAAATTAAATACATGAAAAACAATGTTAGTCTAACACTAACCTTCTGGCTCATAGGTTGTACACTGTTCTGTGCTGTTGTTTATAGCCTGTTTATTTTTTAAAAAAAAAGGAGAAATTTTAGTTTTGTTAAGACAGTACTACAGTGTCTCAAAAAATTAAATGTTGAAGATTAATCAAAATTAAAGTGCAGCAGGCACCACGCTGTATTTCCATGTGTAAATGTTCATTCTAAAACTGGACCTATTAAAAAAACAAATCACTATCTGTGATTTCTTTGTGGTAAGATACAACATGTGCTTCAACCACCCCCATATTTTTTCCGAAGCAACAAAAATAAAGTGCCTTGCTCAAGAAAACAAGTGCACAGCAAGTGACTGCAAGTGACTTCAAGGTTGGGAAACCAAACCGTTCTCGCTGTGCCAAGCCACTTCTGTTGTAAGCGACACATTTCTGGACTTGACCGTGGTCACTTAAATGAGATTAATTAAATGTATATTCTAAGAACAGTAGGTGGATTTTGCCAGGAAGCTTTATTTTTTGTTGAACTAAACATTTTCTGTAGTTTGTTACTTCTAACAACATGTAGAGATGAATAAGCATTAAAGTCAACAATCATGGCTGTTAGGTGGTTTTGAAAACCCATATATAGACAGCAACTTACTATGTATTTTTGGTTTCCATAACTCATATACTCGGGGGCTAGTGTATACATCATAGTGTTGATGGCCAATACAGTGAATATAAGTATCATGCAGAGGAAGAGTAGAGCTTGTGGCTTGGTGTGAGTTGCTCGAATCTTGTACATCTACAAATCACAAACATATATTTTAGCAAAGTTTGAATAATCTATGATTTTCTACAGCTCTGTCTATTGGGAGATTTCGATTGCACCATGCAGAAGATTCTAAAACGCAACGATGTCACTAATATTTCATCTGCGCATGAGAGAAAGTAATGTTCTCCTTGTCATGTGAATTCTAGGACGCAATTTGGCAAAATCTACGTTGTGCAAAGAACGTAGGACTGTCACGCATGAGTGATTCTGTTCTAGAACCGCGTTGTCGCGCAAATTGAAAGCTCCCTGATGTCAAATTTTATGTGACAATTTGTGTGATGTGCCCATATATGGGTATGATGATGTCATATTACACCCAAATATAGGCATGACATTCTTTTGTAACATGAAATTTGATAGTTTGGGAAGAGCTTATCTATAAACTGTACTTCAAATTTATTTCCTAGATGAGAACAAGTAGGGGCCCTCATGTTTTTGGTAAGCTTTTCACTACCACATGGTTCCCAATAACATACTGTCATTAGCAGTGTTCTCCCTATTGAAAGCTTTTTACTGTTAAATTTGTCCATAAAAATTCAGCAATGCACACAGTGTGAGACGTTATCCCTTTTGAGTGGTGTTTACCGACTTGAAAAAACAACACACATAGTCACAGCCTAGTATAGATTGGAATGATCTTCGTTGATTGAAAGAAGGCCAGCCTAAGCTACCTAGGCCTAATCAGTGGTTTTATTATTTTACAATCTCAAAATTTTTACTGGTTGGCCAGTTGTTTCTACCATTAAAATTGACGGCTAAAACGGCTTCGGGAGAACACTGATTAGGTTGCAAAAGAGACATCTTTAGCCATAATGGTGCTGGTATTGAAAGCTGCCAAGACATCTCTGGTCTCAAGGTAGGGTAAAAGAGCAACCCATTTTAATTCATATACTTTTATAACAACCTTCATTACCAGCAACAAAATTACTCTTACAAAATGTCTGGATTCATCCAGTATTCTATAATACAATATGCATTAAATGCTTAAAACTTTAAAAAATGCTACTAACCTTGACACAGCAGAACCATATGCCAATCCTTTCAATGCCAGCAATCGAGGCAAGGAACAGGTAAAGAATGATGGCAGCAAAGATTATGTAGTCAAGTGGAAATACCTGATAATTTAGCAAATTATAAACAAAGTCTATTAATAATAATAGTTGGATTTATGTAGTGTTTACACCAGAGTCTCAAAGTGTGGACTAGCTCGTACAGTAAACTTTCTTCTCCCCTAGGAGTCTCTCCGAGCTACTCGGTAAATCTGTATCACCTACTCTCGTCTGTAAACCGCAGGGACAAAATTAATGTCTCGAAAGATGTGCTGGGTTCTTTAAAGTGCACATAAGCTAATTGTGTACATTGGGCCTACGGTTTATAGTCCTTATCCGAGAACACTTGTTCCACCTCCAGAACCATAGGCGAGCATGCCATTTCGAACCAGCACCGATATGATAGCTGTAGGTAGTGGCGCCCCTGTCTTAATCGTTCAGCCATTCGTCTTGCCATGTACCCCATGATATATTGACTTAAATATAATTAACAGTAATAATGATATAGCAATTTATACTTGACTTTTTGCCAATAGACACATGGTGCTGACGATATTATTAAATTACCCTGGTCACTGGATCCAAGAATTGGCAAACCAGCACAAAATGCAACCTTCTCCACTCCCTGAGAAGTATACCTAGTGGTGTTCCAATGCACAAAAATACATTCAATACCACATCCTACCACTATCAGGAACACAATAGCACTTCTGGGTGAAAAGAAAGTGCCTTGCCCAAGGACAGAAGTGAACTTCATAATAATAATAACTATTAATAATAATAATAATAATAATAATAATAATAATAATAATAATAATAAATATAGAAAAAAATAGAATAAATAATTATAATAAAGATCTAAAATAGCTTTTGTTACCTGCTGACTAAAGAGCAAGAGCATGTCGATAGGATTGGGAAGGTGCCTTTCTGGCAAGATGTAGCCTGTCTTGAGACCGAGAGAATGCAATGCACGATCCAAGCTGAAAACAGAACACAATAACTATCATCAAACACTATCATAAAGCTGTAGTTTTCTAGTGGCTAAGCACATAAAAGCATTTTTGAATTATATAATATATAAAAGTATTAGAGATTACATATCTGCCAGCTATGTAGATAGAAGCTTGCATGCAGCTGGAATATTGTTAGTCTCTGATGCCTGATTCTCAGATTTTGTATATGATTTATTATATGAATCTACAGTACAGTAGATTTAATTGACGAACCTTGTTAAGAGCAAAGATGTGAAGATGAGTAATGCCATTAAGCAACCCACAACACCAAAGATAATCTCAAAAGGCCGCCATAGAAAAGAACATTTACTGCAACATCTATGCTGCAGATCCTCTAGGTGGCGCTCTTTACGTTTCAATAACTCTTCTTGGTCTTGCAGACTATCTATCCTGCTTCGATCACGTGTGCTTAAGCGATCATCCTTGTCCTTGTACTAGATTGTTCAGAAAAAATTAAGAAAAGTTAGTAAATTATTGGCTAAAGGTGGAGAGAAGCCAAACTGATTAAGGAAAAACCTGAAGCCACTGTAAATTGACCAGTATTGTTTAATAATATTTTATTGTCTGTAAGAATTATTATGTTGAGAACAATGCTAGCAATTTACAGGTGATTATCCACACTGCAATTTAGTGTGCCCTATGGACTTTGGAAAACAAAACATTTAATGGGAAATGGCAATGTTAATGAATATATTGACAATTTTCCATGTACAATGACAAAAATCACTTTATTTGATACTTAAAAAAACACAAACAAAACCATTTTTAAATGTGCTACCCCTAAGCTTTGGAATGCCTTGTCAGTTTATATTAGGAAGGCAGGAAGTGTTGATGCTTTCAAATAATTGTTGAAAACCTTTTTTTTTTCAATGACTGCCCTGAGGTTCTTGTAATTGTCGGTTTGTATAGAGTACCACAGTTGTGTCGTCACAACACCAGGTGGTGCCCTCCGGACGTTGGTTACCATTCATTACGCCTGAATGACTTCATAATCTTAATGGTTTAGAATAGGCTTTCTGGAATAGGCATTTTAAAACCCAATAATTTACCATCAAAATGTACTAAAAACACATTAATCATCACATTAACTTGCATTATATTAGTTATTGAAAACACATTTAATCATCAATTAACATTTACAAAAAAATATTAAGATACTTCTTAATAACTACGTTAGAAATTGAGATCAATGGTTTGTCAGTGGAGAAAATGGCGTCGGTTGAACGCATTTTTTCGCCGATAGCAACAGAGTAGTATCAGATGGTATCGTGATGTAACACTGTAGTACTCTATTGTTGTCTACAGTTTAACATATTTTTAAAACAGAATTTTCACATCAGAAATATATAGTAAATATTAAATTATTAATATAAATATACTGTATATCAACCTTCCTTCTGATAGCTCTTCGTCTTTGACGACTTCGTTCTGTAGCACTCCTGACGTCATCCAACTCAACTGCGGTACTTTTCCTTCCTTTTATTAAGTCAGCTGGAAAGGTCACCATCCCAAAGCCCTATCAATCACAGATATGCTAAATATGAATATACAGTTTATATAAAAATAACAATTTCTCAAGCTAATCAGATGTAGTTTACTGTATAGTTTAGTTTTAGATATCTATACCATGTTTTATAGTACATGAATTAACTGCTATAAAAGGTTTTCTGTTATCCATCCATGTTGGGTAATAAATGAGACACAAAAACACACATCCAGTATTCAGTAAGTAATTTTGAGAAAAATACTCCTATCTAATACATACGATATGAAAATACCCTTATTTCAGAGGATAAAAACAAAGATATTACACTTTGTGTGCTAACAAAAATAACAGATATAATGGTATAATGAACTGATATGAAATAGATTAAAATGAAAATGAATGAAATGAAACATTTTAGTTTAGGTTAAACATCAGATGAAGCTGATACAAGGCAAATTAAAGAAAAAATTATAGAAGGATACACTTCTTAAAACATAGTTTAACTTAACTCTCACAACGTAAACAGTAATTAATAGGTACATTTTTACAAAACTTACTGTGTAGAAAACAAGGCAGATAAAACCTATTAAAGTTAAGAACCCAACAGTGAAGTAAAGAGCTGTTTCACCACCTAGAAAAGAAGAGAAATCTTCTATCATCATAAGCATTCATTTTATCTCACAGATAAAAAGTATAAAATACATGCTACTTTCTGTTTGTACATTTTCATTTCATCAATAATTAATTGCTTTTTCTAAATTACTACCTTTGTCAAGGAGGTTATGTATTTCTGTCTGTATTTTAGCAAGATTATGCAAAAACTAAGGACGGGATCATCATAAAATTTAGTGGAATAGTACATAATAATCTAAGAGATAATTAACTTCTGAGAAGAAAAGGTCAAAGAACAAGATCAAGGTCACAGGAATTTTTTACCCTAGAGCTAAAAAAAAATAAAAGAATCGGCCATACATTGCCTGTGTATTATTTGGTATCAAGGTTCAGAGTATATTTATATATTTATTCAATATGTGTACAGTTTTCATGTTCCCTAGTTGTAAGTATCCACTTTCAGTTGATCAGGTTTAAAGTGCTTTCTTAACACATTTTATTGTGTTTTCTACAAATGGACCAACAAAAGTTTTGGAGATTTCAAACACTTACGTGTGTCACGCAGCTCGTTTGCGAGGAATGCAAGATCATTCTCAAATGATGTGGAATTTGTAGTTGGCGGTTTCTTCAATGGTACAAATGCCCTTTAAAATGATGTATCAGAGTATGTACATAGAGTAGCATGTTTTTATTGTTTTAAGTATATAACAAAGATGGCACTGTGATATATCATCTTACATGCACTCAATAAAAACAATATAAAAGTACTTTATAGTCTATTCAGTTTATTATTACTATTTTATGTATATCTGTACTGAGTTCGGAGTAATGATATATTTTGTCTACACAATGATGTATTTTGTCTACACTATAGTAACCATTTTGTCTACACTATAGTAACCATTTTATTTGTCTAAGGTAAAACCAACAAAATAACCAAAAAGGCCATTGTGGTCTGAGAAATAAAAAATGACATCGTAATTTATAACCCACATTTAACAATCAATTGTCCTCTGTAATGAAGTTTCTAGTTATGTCAAAATTACACTACTCAATTCTACCCTAACAGGTGAAAGTACTTACCAAAAAACTAAAATGTCATTAATATGTGCTTCACAACAACACCAGAATACAAAAACATACATAAACATATAAATCAGCCCATTTAACAGGACTTACCCTATCACAAGTAACACAACAGCAACAAATATGAAACAAGCAGTGTACTTCAAGGCTCCACACATCCTCTGAACAAAAAGAAAAAAATATATATAAATGAATAATATGTACATGTCAACATTTCAAATATGCCTAATTGGTATTGAACAATGACAACACTATAATACTGTAAGCATGAGAAAAAATAATAATAAATTAGGCCAAAATTATTAAAAAATCAAAGTTAAAAGTTGCAGCTACCCTTTACAAATTTTGATCAATGAACAAATGCGAGTGTACTAAATAAAATCAACTGTCTACTTACAGACTTGATGTTGGTGTTTTCATCTTGTTCCTCATAGTAGAAATACACAAAAGGGATGATGAGGAATACGAACAATGTCAGACATCCATATAAGGCTAAGGAGTACAAAAGTCAATGATGTCAACAATACATTTATTGATAATGGAAGATAACAAACATACTATAGAAAAAAAAAAATATTATTAACATTAAGAACTATATAGATTTTTTTTCATATGGAAATCAGAGCAGCCAGTTAAACTGAGGATTTCTAGCTATACTTTTCATTCCAACAACCCTGCTGTATTCATAACAGAAAACATAATTTTCTTTTATTATAATTACCATAGTAACAATAGAGGACAGTTTCCTGGATGTGGTGTCTTGTAACATTAGATTCAGCCCAATCCTGATAAGAAAAGTTGTTATAAATAATACTTTACACAGACTTGGACTGATAATTTATACAGACTCATAATTTTATCCAATTTTATCCTGGTCTTAGTCTTTTAAAATAAATGCAATAATTTTATACTATTTTAATGCTTTATTTGCTCTTTGTATTTTATCATTGTACAGTATTTTAATAACATATCTTAATACTTTTTACTGTCTTTTAATGTTTTAATAATATACTTTAATGTTTTAATAATATCCTGTTTTACTGTATTTTTAATGTTTTAATAATACATCATTTAAAGTTTTTTTTAACTGTTCTGTTTGGAACACTTTAAAAGTTTGTTCTTAACTATTTATGTTTGATCGCTTAGGTTCAAAGCACATTTCTGTTATATTTATTTATAACAGACTGAATTAAATGAATTGAATTAAATGGCAATTGCTTTGAAATTCTTCAAACTGCTGCCTAGTAATTTATTTTTTTTAATAAAATGCTATTACTTAGTAATCATAATCTGTGCATTTTCACACATGCATAGGGCCATACGTGTTATTTTTTCCCCCAAGGGAGCAGGAATTTTTTTTTCAATTCAATTTTATATAATATGCTTATGCTGAATTTCATCAAATCTACAGTTAAAAATTCAATACGCAAAGAAACATTTCTTCTTGTGTGAATCAGGTATAATGTCAGAATGCTTTCAGTCGTACGCACTCTTACAACAGATGTCTACAATAAAAGCATGTTACTACGGCTACTGCTACTATTAGTGTGTGCAATTTATAGCAAACCAGAAAAAACTTTGAAGTAGCTTAAATAAAACAAGCTTAAATATAAATATTATTAGTGTATGCAGTTTTTCTTGTCAATTGTCTCATATATAGTAAATACACACCTTAAATTCCCCGTCATCATTCTTCATAAACGACACCAGGAACACATCAATTGGCCCAATCAGCACTGTCAGAAAACTCACTGATAGGGCGAGTATAGCTGATAGAAACAACAATAGTTATAAAAAAGCTATCATATTTTTAAAAAATGTACTAAAATTAGGTAAGATTCTAACATTTTAAAGAATAAACATGATTAATGTGATTAAATGATAAAATAATACTTTACTTACACATTATTTTCTTTGAACTGTTATATTTGTTCAATAATTCCTGATAGCTAAATCTTCTACATCTAATATTTTACATTTTAAAAACAATTCAATTTTAAACAATCTTTAATTAAAAAAAAGTTTGAATGTTTGTACCTAGGTAAGCCTTACCTGTGAATGTGGAACTGCATTCACTATGACGTTTGTATCTATATCCTAGTATGTACCATGTTGAAAATATAAGCGTCACCTGCAAAATAATCAATTAACATTAATTTAAAAACGACACAGTAAAAAGACAATCAATCAGCACAGATTAACAATATCATTGAGCACGAGCAAGGAGCTTTCGTTTCAGCCGCAGGTGATCTACGGTTACTAAAATAAACTTCATTCATTTATTTATTTGGCCAAAAGATTACAGTAACAAAACCATTATTAAAATGACAAAAAAGTATTGGAAAACATTATTATTATTATATTACCATACACTATAGGCCTAGACTACATTGGCCAGGATAGACCAACTTTAAGACTTAGACTTATGCAGCAAGAGCCAATAGCAATTATTGAATGCCATTATTACATTTTTGAACTGCAATGTCTATAAAAAAAAAGGGGAGTTAGTAGGCTTAGACTACAGATAGGCCCACCAGGCCCCTCCTACCCTAAATCAAATAGCAGCTAGCCTATCCTATTCGTAGCCTAATAATAGGGATTCCAGAGCTTTAAAAATTTTTGTTCCCTTTTTGTTTTGCGTATCCGAGCGTATTTCCAAGCGCCTTATTTACTTGGACATGGAAGTAATACATGCGCACACTTACGGCTGTAAATTTCGATTTAAAAAAAAATACACACACCAAAAATGCTTAAAATATCTACTTTTGAATTTAGAACATGTTTAAAACCTAGTAATAGCACATGTCCGTGTAGTTATGCTATTATTCAATACAACTGTTTAGTAAAAAAATACAAAAGGTCGTCTATGAATACTATAAAGCCTAGCCTACATTACATAACTTGTTTTTAAAAAATTAGTAATAAGAAGAGTAAGACTATTAAATTAAACTGGTCTAGGCCTAGGCCCTACTACGAGCCTAACTCTTAGGCCCTACTACTGTACTTCTACTAGACTACCAGGCCTCTAGGCCTAGGTAGGTTAGAGCTAGGCTAGCCTAACTCCTGAGGATAGGGGCCAGGGCCTAGCTTGGCCCTATTTGTAGATACATTACTAAAGTCCCTAGGCCAGAATTTGCAAAAATTCAGAAATAAATTTAGCACATACACCTTTGAAAAATACTTTGTAAGAAAAACTTGAAATTTGGATAATAACTTACCACGAAAGCAGCAGCAAACGTAATCCAACTTGCAACTTCCACTGAAACAGGTAAAGCAGCCATTTTTGTTTTTTTAGAAAACGCCCTCATGCAAAGCGAATCACGAGACTTCTATAGACTTTCTTTTCCAGACTGCCAATCTTCCATTAAAATAAGGAGGATATAATTATTTAGGTACATTATCCCTGGGAAGGGGGGCCTATTCATGCATAGGCCTATACCTAAAAATAATAGTTAAAAATAATTTCCAACTTTTTTTGAAGAATAAAACGGCCAGCGTGCCCCTCAATAATATTCGGTTTTTGGAGGAGTAATTATTAATTGATTACTGTGGGCCCGCCCCACCCCGAATCAATATGCTCCTCTTAAAATAGTTACGAATCCAGGGTGGCGGCAGGATTTGCCCGACGGGGGAGGGGGGGGACGATTCCTCAACGAAGGGTCAGACTTCCCCGATAAAAGCAAGGTGCCAGTGGGCGTGGTCGAGCTTCGATTAAAATGTTGCAAAAGTCCAGGAGGCGAAGCCATCGAAAAGTTTGACAATTGGGGTTTCAACGGCTTTATTTAATCAATTTTAGAGTACTAATATGTAGAAAATACATGATTTTTTTTCTCCCCGACGAATTGTGCTTTTTCTTCCCGACGAGAGTTCTGACCCCCACTGGCACCACCCCTGTACGAATCCGATTATCTTTAGTATTACTAGCCTAGGGGTAAAAGAAGCCAGCGGCGGTGCTACGGGGGAAAAGGGGTAATTTTCTCTCAGAAAATGTTCTTGCTCCCCTACCCTAGTTTTCCCCCAAAAAGAAGAAAAAACACAATTAATTGAAAAAAAAAATTATATGCATTTTCTACATATTAGTAGACTATCTATAAAATCGATTAAGTAGCCTCTGAAACCCCAAATTTGTTATATTTTTCGGGGGATCCTTCCCCCTGGACCACTTTCGAAACATTTTAATCGACGTCTGACCACGCCCACTTTGTTCTCGTCGGGGCTTTCCCCCTCACCCCAAAAAAATTGTACCTTTCCCCTCACTTTGTACCCCTGTACCCCATATTTCAGACGCTGGCGCCGGCACTGACGAATTTTCTGAGAACTTTAGGGAATTCCTGCCCCTATCAAATTAAATTCCCCAGTAATCTTGCACTGGGGCCCATTCGCACCTAGCTTCGCAGCTGATGGTATTCATCAATTTGTAGGCCTATTTCATTATAATACATCGAATATTGTATCCTGTGTATTTGCAAAATTTAATTGCATATTGTAATATTTCAAAATACCCTGCATGCTGTGTAAATATAGACAGTCACTGTTATTCATTTTATTATGTATCCGTGTTCCTTGCACTTTATTTATTAATGGGAGAAATCAGAAACTGATCAATTCATCTATTTTGGCACTGATTAGAAATAAAATTTTCATAAATTTACCATTTTTCGCAATAGACGTATACATTTGTCCTGTTCACATGAATTAAAATAGCCCTAAACTAGACGCCACTGTCTAGGGTGCATAGTTTCAAAATTTGTTAAGCGCCTCTCCCCCACCCCCTCCCCGCAATATGGTTGCGGAACGGGGGATTTAGTTTTGTTTAGCTTTTTAAATATGTTGTTGACAATCTGACTGACACATTCACTTTCATTAGGTGTTTTTTCACTTCGTTTTTCAAGTTTGTCCCAGCACCAGTGGTGGCGCCAGAGGGGAGGCTGGGGGGATACTTAGCCAGAGGGGAGGCTGGGGGGGGGGATAGATGTGTATAAGAGAGCCCCCCCCCCCGTCGGGGAAGACGATATCTTTTGTCGGGGAAGACGATATCTTTTGTCGGGGTACAAACAAATAAAAATAATATTTACATGTAATATTCGTTTAGCCACCATATTGTTTGTGTTAACTTTTCATCACAACAATAATAATAATAATAATAATAATAATAATAATTATTATTATTATTCAATGAGACTAATTAAAAATAATTTGCGTTCTGTTATGACAAATGACAGTGACACCCAATGTAGTTTTTGTTATCCCGGGTTGGCAGTACTCTCTTTTCATTCATTGTTTTCTTTTTTGTTTGTTTTTGTATGAATTTTAACACGAAATAAATTTGAAATTGAAAATTATCATCATCATCATCGTACCAACCGTCACTGTTGTCGCTTTTTATGTCCGTTGTAACAGTATAAAACAAAACTGATGATTAATTATGGTAATACATATCATCACCAATGATGCCTCAAGAACTATTTATTGAATCTACGGACAATCAAGAAATTAACACTACAGTACAAAACATTATAATCGCATAATGCATTGATAAATTAAATCTATTTTCAAAGCTAAAGTGTCTTTAAAACTAATCAGTATTTCTTAATATTAAGTCACATCTCAAATTATTCAATACTGCACTACAATGCCATTATTTTACATCACAAACAGGTATCATAAACAAAATATTAGAAATTTAGTTAGAAGTAAAAAATTTTATTATTAAAATTTACAATCTGTCTATTTAAATCGGGTGGCGCCAGTGGGCGGTCCCCACACACCAAGAAAAAAAATTATATGTACTTTCTACAAATTAGTAGACTCTAAAATTGAATAAATAAGCCTTTGAAACCCCTAAATTGTCATATTTTTTAGGGTTTGTCCCCGGACCACTTTCAAAAGATTTTGAGTGACGCCAGACCACGCGCACTTTGTTCTCGTCAGGGACCTCAGCCCCTGCCAACCCTGATATAAATCCAGACACATACTGTGCCACCCGATGAACATACCTCCACTTTCATACCAATTCAGGCTACACCCTACCCTGAGTAACATATCTGAATCAACAAACAAGAATCTGATGAAGGCATATTGTCATTAAACATATTACCCCGAATATGGGACTACTCAAGATTACTTGGTTTATATTTGTTTAATACATTTTCTAATACTCTGTATTGCTGTATTATTGTGAACGATTATATTACATATTAGATATAACATTGCAAATACTGTGTTTAAAACCAATTTCATTGTGAAAGAAACTTTCCCTCATAAATTTTTCAAATAAGATATCTTATGCCAACAGAAGTGTTAATGAATAATTATGGTGCAAGTTTTTGTATATTTAAAATTAATCATCTTTCTTGATTCTGTTCTTCAAATGGCTTTGATCTGAAAAATAAGAGAATTATTACATTTAATAAATTATATCAGTCATCATGAGTTTTGTTGTATCACAGGACTGAGACCTACATAGTACTGTAGCAAAGATGTAATAAATACATACAAACTTGCACTGATAAACATGTAATTATCTGGGGCAGACGCAGGACTTGGCAGTAGGGGGTGTGCGAGAGTCCATACCACCTCAGGCCCACCATGGTTGGGGCTGAGGTATGAAAATTTTGAGAATATGGACCCCTGGTGCCCGGAAATTGTACTCTCATACCTTTAAAATCTTATCAGTAATTCATATCAGCAACAGAATACAGCAAATTATTTTTCAATTGGGGGGGGGGGTGTGATCTGCACCCCTTCTCCATCTGCCCAAGGTTATACATTTTTAGATTACTTCAAACTTTGTCACTTTATCATATGTTTCTTTTCCTATAAATTCAAAAGGAAAGACAGTTTTCCGATTGTAGATTAGGTGTCAATAAAGTAAATTTGAATCCCCAAATTCTGCTTACATTTCATTTGATATACTGGACAAGATTGTCTATGAACCACTGTTCTGTGAACTGAAGATGGTCCGTCGGTGATGACAGAAATACAAGTTTCTTATCAGTGTCCATTGCTTTCAAACCAAGTTTGTCCTGTGATGCAAACACATGTACATTATATTTATATATTGATAATATTAAAGTCTACAGTACTTTTTAAGTGATGGTTTTTAAAGCACTGATCGAAATTGGCCATTTCTGGTAAATCTATGTACCTGGTCAGTTTGACCAATAATAATTCAATGTTTATAACGCCCTGTCCAGACTATCAAATTTTATTTGACAAAAACATATGACATGCCTAAATATGGTCATGATGAAATCACACCATGACCATATATAGGCACATTGTGACTATATATGGGCATACAACAGTTTTTTGTCAAAGACAATTTGATAGTGTAGACAAAGTCTTAGATTAATTACCCAAACCTTGGTGTGTTCCACTGATACAAAAGTGTTCCAATAAAGTTCAAAAAGTTGAAATTTCACATGGTAAGTTTAACTGATTGAACTACTCTCAACTCTATTATACATGGTCACAAGCAATTTTGTCTCCTCAGTTGTAATTAATAAGCAACTAACTTAATGAAAATGTTTAAAGCACTTTATTTATTTCTTTATTTATTACATTTTAGGATAAAGAAAAATACAACAAAAACCCTCCAAGGATTACCAAAAGTGTAGAAGACTATCGGGAGATCTTCAAGTCCAAGGCAAAAGAACAAACATTAGCACAAAAACAAGATCAAAACAACATAATACATAGTAAATAGTAAATACATAAATACGAGTTCAATAATAATTATAATAAAATACATTTCAGATTTTTTGAATAATACAACAAATATACAGTATTTATTAAAGGCAAATATTCCATTAATTATTTACAATTCATTCAATTTTTAATTTAAACCAACTATAAAAATATAATTTATAAGCAATTAATTAAAAATTCCATTCAATATCAATTACATTAATATATTCAATTAATATTTACAATTCATTCAATTATAAATACTAACAGCAAAAATACTGTACAACTTAAAAGCAATTCATTAGACGATAAAGCGAAAAATATTCCATTCAATTATCAGTTACATTAACATCGATTCATTCATTACTTTTTCAATTCACTTTTGTAGTTTTCCATTCTTATAATGTATTAATTGCTTGTAAGAATTGTGGGGATATAACAACATTAAAGTACATACCATAGTGTACAATGGACTGTCCTGCAGTTTGTAAAGTTCTTCAGATTGGCCAGGTTTGTAGAATCCGAACCACTGTGAAGTACAAAAAGAATTAAGTGCTTAATTATTTTTTTTCTTATTTATTTCTAGAGATTGCAAATTCATTACTGCTACCCTAGTTGGCCATGGAAGAACAAAACAATATCAGGCAGTAAAGTTTAAACGTATCACTAACATCACCTTCTCAGGCATTTTCAAAACAGTACTAAGAGTTAGAATGGTGCCTAGCAATATACTAACTTCTTGATTCTGAATGTTATTTGGGGAAAATTTAAATAGAATGAAAAATTTGTACTTTTAATTATATCATACCTCACTTTCTTTTGGTTCTACCATATGGTCGTCAGAAAACATAACCATGACAAACTTATTCAAGCGCATCAAGTTTGTCTTATAGGTTTCGTTGACAATCTAAAGACAAAAACACAGATGTTAAGTAACAAACCATGAATTTAATTTTTAGGAAGGCAAATTTCATATGTATTTTGTATATATGACGAAGAAATAAATTTTTTCTTATCTTATCTTATCTTTCTAAAATTGTCAAATCAAACCAACAATTACAAAATAACTATAGCCAGTAATTGCCGCTTATTAAAGTTATAAAAGAATCGAAAATTGGAAAAGAAAGAAATGTTTATGTGTTTTATACTGGATGCTTTGTAAATGAGTAATTTGACGTTATGGATAAGACCTTCTGGAATTGTAATAAACAACAAGCAATGTATTTCAAAACTCACATTTTCCTGGTTAATGTCTGCAAGGAACATACTAATTTTTTTGTATTCTTCTTCATTCAAAGGGTCATGCCAATACTGAGCTTGAACTATACTAAAATCATAACAGAAGTGTATTTAGAAGTTCATATTGTTTGAAATAATAATAATAATAATAACAACTGCACAGACCAGTGCATCATTTGTACCTAATCCTTCATTTTATATATTTATATCTTTGGAAAAACAATGCTCAAATAATTTCATTTGGTTTCTATTTATGTATACTGAATTATATATGATACATTTTGGTTTACCTTAAAAAATTTTAATGAGTAAAAACAATGTTATTAAAACTTACTGCTCTTGCACAAATCTGAAATATAAAGAAAATATAATGATAAATGAGTAATGTAGTTATTTGTTAAATTATGTAGCATGTAAAAATAGGACACATTGCAGGCAAGGGTTGAAACTTACATTTAAAAGTTTGATATGACCCAAACACTTTTACAAGGTAACTTATGAAAAATGTATGGAACTAAAGACTTAATTAAAATTAATTGAGAATTATTGGTAATCTTGAAAACTCATCACTAGATTATCAGGTTGCTTCATAAAAATAATAAATAATAGTACATTATAACAAGCCCGTAGCCAGGATTTTGGTAGGGGGGTTCTTTTTGATACTGAAAGGGCACTTGTGAGCACCACTGGCTGGACCCCGGGGGGTCCAGGGCCAAAACCCCGGTGGGGGTCCAGCATTCTAAGCATTTACAGGTGTTACTTTAATTGATTTGAGAGGCCATACATTAAAAAAAATGTATATATTAAAGAGGTAATTTTTTGAGCTGGGAAAAGATAAAAAACAAAAAAAAAACTACTACTTAAGTACTACAGTATTGGTAATTTAACAACAGTAGCATGATACAAACTCCAAAGAATCCAGTAAGGTTTATTCTTTATTTTTTTATTTATATAGCACTTTGGAAGTTGTATCATACTATAATCACTTAAGACAATCAATAACAAAAAGAACCGAGACAAATTTGTATGGTTGGTTGTAGCGTATTATAATCATATATATATATACACAGGTATTTCTGAGTCAAGGTTTCGGGGCCTGAATTTTTTATGTTACTAGGTAGGCCTAACAATCAGGTATTAAAATAGGACTTTTAATGATGATAGGCTCTAGGCTAGGCCTAAAGTGTAGGCTATCCAGCCTTTGTTGAAAGGGCACTTCATGAAAAGGGGGGATTCGTTCGAACCTAACGAACCGCCCTGGCTACGGGCTTGTATAAAAACTTTGAATAACGAAGTACTGTTAGACAAATTTAAATAAAAATTAATAAATATAATATAAAAATAATTTAAAATACTACTACTATCATACTTACTCAACATATGCACCAATATTCAGCAGTTTTCTGACATAGTCACAAAGTGTAAGATTATTTCCTGGGCATCTTGGGAAACCATAAACACCTAGAATGTTGAACAAATTTAGTTTACTATCAATCATATTAGGCCTACTCTTCTGTTTACTGTTTTAGTCATTTGGTATGTTCTATACATTATAATCATTATCAAGTGGGTTGGATGATGTAGGCAGAAGTTTGTATGGTTTGCAAAGGTTAGCAGGGTTTAGCAATAATATCTTATGTGTGTTACTATGGACAGAAACATAATTGAGCTCCCTTTTTTTGATTGGTAGCCCGAACTACCTTACCACGGCAACACATGCTGCTTCTCTTCAATTTGATTATGACAAGTATAAAAATTCCACGATTCTGAACAACTTTTATTAATACATACCTTGGTGTTGACCTCCTACAGAAATAAGGTTATGCATCGGTGGTTTTGGGCAACGCTGTGCCACAGCACGCCTAAATAGATTGAAAGAAACATTATTACGTAATAAAATATTAATATTCCATTCAACAAATCCAAGACAACAGTATAAGAATAATGAAATGCAAGGATGAAAAATTGAAAAAAAAATCACCAAAAAAAGAAAATAAAAAGGTAAGTGAAAATCTTCTCTGAAAAGTAGAAAGATTATGGAACTCATGTAAAACTATAAAACTTGATCAGTCACCATGATAAACAATAAATGCATTTTGCTCAACACAGAATAAATTTCGTTGGCTAAAAATTAGATAAAATCCAATAAATGAATCAAATTTGTGTTAAACATTGTCTGAATTATGTATTTTCTACAACTAAAATATAATTTTAAATAATACCATTTTCTATAGATCCAAGATTAAATATTTGTTTTCAGACAAACATGCCCCAAGTTACTATATCCGGTGCTATCTCTACCTATTTGTGTAACTATTGTACTTACAGAAACTGTCCGCCCTGCGAGAAGCCCATTGAGTTGTAACCATTTGCTAACTTTGGATCTTTCGCAATCATATCACAGGCCATATCTATCTGATCATTGGTGTTCATTAAGAAGCCATTCAATGTATCCTAAAGAAAATAAATATTTACAGCATGAAATTATGGTTTCAAACAAGGATGATAAAGTATAAGATTTCATAGAGACAATGGTTATAAAGGCCTAATTAGCATTCTGCATTGAATAGCTGCATGAGGCAGCGAAGAGGAAAGTACAAATCTGTGTTTGCGGCAATGAAATGTGACCAGACGTGGGACCAAAAAGGGGCGGATCCTGTTATGTACGAAAAGGGGCCAAAAGTGGGGGCCGATCAAGATAACACCACTCTAGGGGGTCCGGTGGATTCCCCTGCTAAATTTGTGTTGTCTAGGCACCCGAAAATAATCTGAGGCATTTTGGGCAATCAATTTTTTCTCTTTCTTTTTCTTTTTTTGTACACCTCTGCCAAAAGTCAGTGAGGAATTTTTCTTCTGTTAAACCATAGAGAAAATAGAACATTTTCTCCATGGTTAAACATAGTGGTTCACTCCTAAACAATGAATATTTTCAATCCTATTATTAAATATAATAATAAAAAGATATGCACTATTGTGCTGTAATGTACTTTAACTACTAATTTACTGATAGGCAACATACAAACCTCTTCAATATTGTTTCCAATCCTCAATGAGTGGACGTAAATTCCAGGAACTTGCTTCTCAATCATTTTCTGTATGTTACCAAGACTCAATGGGTTGCAGCAACTATCACCTACCATACAAAGATAAACATACATTGTGATTGGATGTTATTGTATGTATGGATAGGACTAGGGCAATAAAATCAAATCAGAAATAGGAAATCGTTTTTAGACTACACTGTAGTGTAATAATAGCCACTGTATAAATTATATACAGATTACAAGATCTTTTTGGCCACCACATATTTCAGCAGCCAGCTTTTTTAAGCTAAATGTGCAGATAAGAAAGTAATTTTAAGGCTGATAATTGACTACCAAAAAAGATAGCGTTCTCCGCAATTTCTGCGTGCAAATTCTATAACAACGCAGTGTAGGGCGCTACCACACAAAAATGATTACTTTTCAACATTGACATCAAAGATTGTTAACTAATCTAATCTAATCTAATATTTATTTATATAGCGCCTTTCTTTGCAGATACGAAGCGCTTCTGTCCCTGGTCATTGGATCCACATGCTAAGTGTTGCTGCTGTATTCAGCGCACAAGCAAGCAACCCCACCAGGTACCCATTTATACTCCTGGGTGGAGAGAAGCAATGCAGATAAAGTGTCTTGTTCAAGGACACAAGTGAAATGCACAGCGAGGGATTGAAACCCCGACCTCGAGGTTGGGAAACCAAACCTTTCACGCTGCGCCAAACCGCTTCCACAAGCACATCTAAGCACATCTGCGTGCAAATCCTGTAACAACCATGGTAACAGCTAGGACACCCTCTTTCAAAAATGATTAATTTTTATGTTCTTTTTACTGAACAATGATGCTTCTAATTACTATGTGTAAATCGTGGAGAGCACTACTGTATCTGGAAATTATAAAATCTTTGGTGACTACGTATATTAGTCTATTTTTTAAAATTTCAGAGTACAGCATTAATTAATGCTAATTGAATATAACTGAGTAGGCCTACATTGGTTCATTTTAGTTATTAATTGACTGCATATAAATACTAATTACTTGTAGGAATAGTGTGCATAAAAGAAGTATAATAGGACAGGATTGAACTCCTTGATGTGAATACAAGGATATGAAACCCAGGAAAGTCCACAGACATACTTCCAGTGAGGGTCATTCTGTTAATATATGGGCACTACACTAAGATCCCCTCTCTCTTTCGAAGAGTGTAGTGTACTGGATAGTTTAACACTAGGCCAAAAGGCCAGACTAGGCCTGCGTGGGGAATATATCCTCCGTCCACGCATTTCGGAAAATAATTTCTGCACATATGTTGAAAACAGGCTTTTTTTTCCCTTCTCTATGGTTTTTTTTCCTCCATGTATTTAAACCATCAAAACAGCTAAGAAAGATGGGAACCTATCTGATTATGGAACGCCGTTACTGCCTTTGGTGGCTCTTTTCCGTTCGGCGCATTTGCTATTCGGCCCTGTTAACATTACGTTCGGTGCTTTTACATTACGTTCGGTGCTTTCTACATTACGTTCGGTGCTTTTTACATTACGTTCGGTGCTTTTTACATTACGTTCAGTGCTTTTACATTACGTTCGGTACTTTTTACATTACGTTTGGTGCTTTTTACATTACGTTCGGTGCTTTTTACATTACGTTCGGTGCTTTTACATTACGTTCGGTACTTTTTACATTACGTTTGGTGCTTTTTACATTACGTTAGGTGCTTTTATTAACATTACATTCGGTGCTTTGAAACATTACGTTCTGTGCTTTTGCCACACTTACGGATCATTAATCATTTGGTGCTTTGTAGTTCTACCTTTCGGCCCTTTCATCATTACGTACAGTTCTTTTATCATTCAGTGCTTTCATGACCTTTGACATCGGGTCAAGTGGAAAAAATCAACGGCTGTGGGAACGAGCCTAGTGGAACTTGTGCGCTCCTTCTTTTTTTCTTCGTGCCGTCGATCGTTGACAAGCGAGGAATGACAATGGCCAAGTCTACTGTTCCGATTTAATTTTAAATTGTTTTGCATTATATGGCCG